TTCACTGGCTGGATAGAAGACTGGTGATTTTGTTGTGCTTTTACAGATGTCTGGCATAAAGAAATCAATATCAAAGACGCAAGAGTTAATGGAGGACTGACAATATTCCCTCATACAGATGTTGAAGGATGCATTTTCCCCTGTCCTGTTATCTCAAGTTTAGGAGTTGTTTTCTCATGATACTTGGTTAAGAAAACCAAAGGCATTTTTTCCAATATAATTACCCTGTTATGAATATTATTATCTCAAGATAACAAAATAAATGTTCAATTTCATTAAAATCAGACTCACAGGACATTTTTTTTACTGATCCTACTGATGCTTTTGGGTATAGGGATGGCAATCTCACCACCTTAATGCAGACTGAAATATCTCAACAGTCACTGAATGGACTGACATGACATTTGTACACATCAGATCAGATGATGTGTTAGCCAACCTACAGCATCTGTGCATACTTACATGATAAAACAATATTGAAAGATTGCGAGAATATGTTCTCTTGGTCTTGACATTACAGGACTGCAAAACAATTCTTGAAACCGGGGTCGCTTTCAACTTCTGTACTACCAACTTATTGTCTTGCACATACTTAAGTTTTTTAATGTTTTTGCACCATTCTGAGTTTTAATGTTCTGTTGTTGAACGTAACCTACTTTCTCCTTTAGGATGAAATGTTTTCAAAGCCCCTCACATCTCCTTTGCAGTCCTGGTTTCAGTTCAAACTTTGTGTCATCAGGTGGTTTGAGGAGAACCATCTGCAGCTCAGTACCAAACAGGCTGCAACATGGTAAGAGTCCATCACACCTGTGCTGTTGTGCTAATAAATATTTTGATTATTATGTCTTCTGGCTTACCTTGTAGTTTATGCCACCCAATTTCTTAACTAGGAACATTAAAATCTCTTGTTTTCTCCTCTCTTCTTTCAGTTAGGTGAGGTAAGGTTTCCCTTCGATGTTGAGAAAGTGATGTCTGCTACCATCTGGTGGCCAAAAAGAAAACTTTATGAAGCAGATGAAAGTGTCTCGCTAAGAGACAAACACTATTTCACAGCGACTGAACAAGTCAGATTATTTACATAAGTTAATTTACAGTATATTGTCTAGCTTTAATTCCAGGGTTCAAACACCATTTGATGTTGATAATTCTCTACATGAGAATGTAGAGAACAAACTATTTAAATGCAAAACATCATCTGTATATGATGCAATCTATATAACAATGCAGGTAATATAGAATATAATATATATTTAATATCCCATGAAGCCAATGGTGTATATCAATAATAATAACAAACTATATAATTTCTAAAAGAAATACCAATTCAATATTAAAAAAAATGCCTTAGCTTCGCTCGGCATGTCCCACGTTCCTAGCCGTAGTTAACGTCATCAATACAAGCCGACCGGAGCAGCATGGATCATCCTCTGAAACATTTTTGACCTTCTACAATTATTTCTTTGAAGTAGTTTCGGTGAGTTCATTCTGCCTTACATCCTACATGCAGTGTTAATCTGTATTAATGTCAAATGCAGTCGGTGTGGTTTGTAATTTCTACTTTTGAATGATAACAGTCGTGAAGTTAGAGCTAACGTTAGCTGCAGTAACGCTAACTATGTAGCCCCTGTGTGTCATCTTCCTGTAATCTGAATTTGACACAACTGTGATGTTATTATTAATGCTTAAGTCTTAGTTTCACATTGATGTGAATGCCGATGATGTAATTGTCAGAGTAAAGTTTGTATATATATTTTCTTAGGTTTGCAAAAATCTATGCTAACTGTTGGCTACTGTTCGCTGGTGATTCAACGAAATCGCAACAACTTGTCATGTCAACGTGTGATAGAGGCCAGTTATTATGATGTCATATTTGTAAACGAGGATCTAAGCCTTCAGTTAATCGTCATCTGTCAGATAATGGCTGTGGGTAAATGTTAACTTTTCTTGTTCTTCTGTACCACAGGGTTGAACACAGCTTTCCATAATGTCGGTGAAGCATGCATCAGTCCATGCCAAATGGATCATAGGCAGAGTAATTGGGACCAAGATGCTAAAAACTGCCAAAGTGAGAGTCACAAGGCTGGTGCTGGACCCTTACCTGCTCAAGGTAAACCTTATTACAGTGTTCATTCACAGGAAGGACAGGTGGCATAGATAATACCACAGTATACTGTCCAAACAAGTAAATACCAACATGATATCAATCAGATTACTTCTCTATCATGTCTACCTGCAGTTTTACTCTATCACATTTAAAACATGTTGATTGCCCAGAGAAGGTGAGAGCTAGGTAAACGTTCTTATTCTTATAATACTGGCGCCATTATGATAGAGTGTTAGTACCACTGCCAAAACAATCCATTTTTTTTGCCTTAGTTTGAGCTATAGAGATAAGTCCTTCCACAAGACTCTTTTCTTTCATTCAGCAAAACATGCCAAACTTCTCTGTGCATCAGTGTATAATGTTATTGTTTTGCAAGCAGCTGCACAAGAACTGTGCCCAAATAATAATAATAAACTTTATCTGTAGAGACTTTATTCCTAGAGATTTTTTTCAAGGTGCTTTACAACAAAGATGCAACATAAAAGCCAAAATGACAACAATAACCGATAAAAAGACAATTGATGATGAATATGAAATACAAAAGTGAAGGTAAAAACTAGAGAATTCATATAAAGCTTCTAATAATGATAAGAATTACATACATTCAAATCCTTACTAAATAAATAGGTTGTCAGCTGTTGTTTTTTTTTATATATACTTAATTTTTATTAGTTTATATGAAAAGAAAAAAACAGACAAAACCAACAACTACAGGCAGGGACATCATAGGCAAAGACAAAATGTCCAACATTGAGTAAAACAGACAAGAAGAAGCAAGGCTACACTGCAGTGCCACTGACAATGGGTCCTCGATGTCTGTGATCGTCTCTCCAGACCACAAAGGTCTCCATTATCCCCAACTTTGACCCCTGGAAATCCAGGGTACCTCCTGGGAGGATTTCAGCTGTTGTTTAAAAATGTTTACTGAGCCCGCACCTCTTACAGCTTTTTAAAGGGTATTGCATAATTTTGGAGCACAGTTAATAAAAGCTGCAATGCCTACTTTCTTTTGTGTGTAACTGTGTGTATTTAAAAACCCAGCAGTGTAAGATCTGAAAGCTTGTTAAGGATTATAACACAACAGAGAGTCAGCAATATCAGGAAAAGAAATGAAAAGGATTATGTGTTATATTGGGAAATGGTATGAGCATGTGTTTGGCTGTGAGACAACTTACAAGTGCTGATTGAGAGGAGATATTTTTAGCTGCCTCTAGTTCCACACAACAACCAACATGGCAGCTACAGCTCCTGTTACTGTTAATAACACTGCTGCTGACCTTTGTGTCACTAGAAATTTCTGATCCATGTTTTTATTTTGAAGAGATAGCACTTGTAAATATGGTGCACTTTTTTACAATGTTTTATTTTTTTAGACTTGTTTACAGCTTTACAAATGTGAACTGTTTATTGATAATTTTCATGCCATATTTATAAATTGAATACACTAGGTTATTTGGGTTTTGGCCGAACTGAGTTAGCAGTGGGGCTGTAGTAACTTGTGATTTGCATTCACCATTATTTGATGGAAAATAATTTGTGTCACCAATCAGTTTTTAAATAATCTTGCTAAAATACTTCAGAAAAACCCATTAACATAATATTTTGCCCACTTTGCTTAGTAACTTTGAAAGCATTGAAAATTTTACACAAATTAATAAGTCGCTACCTGTAACCACATGTAGTCTGTGATCAACTTCATTGTGTACAACTAAATGTCAGTCTTTTTTAAATCAGTGATTGATTGCTGTACAGTGACTGTGTATATAAACAAGTCAAATGCTGTCTTTTCTCCACTGTAGTACTACAACAAGAGGAAGACCTACTTTGCCCATGATGCTTTGCAACAGTGCACTGTGGGAGATATTGTCCTTCTCAAGGCTTTGCCTGAGGCCAGGTCCAAGCACGTGAAACACGAACTGTCTGAGATAGTGTATAAAGTCGGCCGGGTGGTCGACCCACTGACGGGAAAGAGAGTCGAAGGAAGTGAGTTTGCGGAGCCTCTGACTGACCTTCCACTCAGCCTGGGAGAGGACTTGACCTTATCAGAAAAACTGCAGGAGCTCAACATCTCTGCCGCCTCCAGCGGAGCTGATTCCCCACCAGCACAAACTCCCACTTCATGATAGAAAACTGCATTGTTTTACTGAGTAATGTTAGTTTAAATGTCACCCTGCAATTATGTTTCTGTTCCAGGTGTTCATGTAAATATAAATTTATAAACCTGTCATCAACATATGTGCCAGTTAATGTTGGAAATACATTTTCTTTGCTACCTGCTGAGATAGTCTTGAATTCACAACACATTTCTGAGGAATTTACAATAAAAATGACAATGAGAACGCATGATGTCATTCACAAACATGTATGCAAGTATGCATGGTGCTCTTACTGTCAGACCAAAGACCTGTCACTTACATTAGTCATATTAAAATATTATCACATATAGTCTGTATAGGGTGCATATGCAAAAGCATTTTTATCAGTATCAAGTATTTTTTTTCCATGAATTTGGTCAGTCAGAGCGTATCCATTCATTGAAATGTGTATGTGAATGAAAATGTATGTGGGTCAGTCTTTTACTTTAAGCCCTTTACAAGCTCTAGCCTATTTATTATTAAGTAAATTGTGATTAGAAGTCGAAGTTAAACATAACTCAACACAGCGAAGCATCCTTAGAGAGATTCACCAAAACAAGAGTGCTGTGTTGTCACTCTGTCATAATTAAAAGCAGGTGTCAAATCAAAATGCTCAATATGCTTAATCAACTGTGATTTTAACCACTCTGTGTACAATATCGTACGGCCCCTTGCTTATCAAATGAACCACACACTGATTCTGGAATATAAACTTAAGACGAGTTACGTCCATGTGAGTAACGTCAGCTCCACCGGGAACAGCCCGGACTGCGGCTGCAGCCGTGTCAAACAACCTCCAACTGATTACAGCTTACAAGGGAAAGATGGCGACCCGAGTCCTTCAAAGAGTCGGCAAAGGCCTGAAACAGACGAATAATGGTCTCCAGGCGAACGGGCAGGTCACGGTTGTCGTAAGGTAAGACATTTCTATGTGTTATTTCTTAATGCAGATGTTAAAAATACAACCAAAAAATGTGTTTTGCTTGCATAGAGTTCACCACCAATGACAAAGTCCGGTATGCTAGGTGGCTAAGCTAACGCTACGCTAACGTAGGGACGTTGGCTTCGTTTAGAACCCCGTGCAACGTAGCTAGCATTAGCCATGTAGCTCTAAACTTGCTAACTTTCTGCTAATGCTAATTATTAACCTGCACTACTACAAAGTTGCAAAGCGGCTTGTGTTTGCACTTTATCTCACGTACTTAATAGTTTTGTGCGTAGAATGACAGTTACTATGTGTAGAAATAATGCAAAATCACAGCGGAGTTTCTGTCAGTCCCAAACTTCAAGGTCAAAATGCAATGAATATCTGCACAACACTTCTTGTTTTGATTAGTGAATGGCCCAGTTTCTTGCCCCGGCAGTTGTTGTCTTCAACCACCGTGTGTAAAGACAACTGTACTGCTGCGATTTATAAACAATATGGCTAAAATGTGATATTTTTGAATGCATTATATTATTTAAAACAGTTGTGTTTGCGTAAGCTGGCAAACTGTCACAGGAATGCTTCCTGTTAAACTACAGTAACAGTTGCATGAAGTAGGCTATTTGTTAGCACTTTTAAATTAAGTTTATTAGCAGAAATCGAAATACTGTTCAGGTGGGAAGGCTGCTTAGGAGTCCATGCAGACTAATCCTCTGGTTATGTGCAGTATGCACAGCTTACAGCCTTCTTTGCTGCTGTACTCTGAGCTTGAATTTCTCAGCAACGAATGAGTTGGATAGTCTTAAGACATTTGTACAAAGTTCATAGCTGCAGACATTACTTACCAGTATATAATGCAACTTTGTACTGACCCCAGTCTTATTAAGAGGCACAGTGCAAGGCAGTTTTATTCATATAGCACTTCAAATCACATCTAAGCTTGTTATGCTTTACATAAAAGATGAGAGAAGCTTAAAAATACAACAGTGTGACACCCAATGTGGGTTTTTTTAACAGAAACATGTAAGAAAATAAACTTTATTATTTACTTGTGACTAACATATGCACTGAGCAAGACATTTTTCAGTAGAACAACAAAGTTCTTTTTGCCCCATGTTGAACGAGCCATGTGACATGATGGAGTCACTGCTTCTAAATTGAAATTTCTATGCATACATTTTATTATTAGAAGATGGCCAACTTACACATCGATGTCATGATGCAGTGATTGCAACAAGCTAATACCTGCTGATGTGTTGATCTCGACACAAACCACGTGCACACTCACATAGTAACTAATCACAGCCCTGAGAGAGTAAGATATGTTTTAGGTTTGCTTTTTGAACTTAAACACAGTTGTGACAGATCTCAGGTCAGTTTGCTCCAGCGAACAGGACCTGTCTTTAGTTAGTGAGCAAGCCAGAAGTGTACTGAGGAGCCAAAACATTTGGTGCTTTACAAGCAGCATAATTGTATGCTGCACTAGTCAGTCAGTTTTTCTATTGTTGGCAGTCATTTATTTCTTCATTGTGTAGCAGAAGAAGTGCTAGCTGTATGTATCTAACTTTGGTGTGTTGTTTCACCTTAGGAGCCTCTCAGCTTTCCGTGAAGACAGCTGGTTCAAGTCCCTGTTTGTTAGAAAGGTCGACCCCAGAAAGGACGCTCACTCTCATCTGCTCGCCAAGAAGGAAGACAACAACCTGTACAAAATACAGTGTAAGTATTGTGCGTGACTTGCTGTTACTGCAGTAAAAAAAAAAAAAAAGATTACTCTGCCTGCATGATTTACATCATTTTAAGATGGATTTAAAAATGTTTTTCTCCTAAAATAATCTCATGAAATCTGATAGTTGGTGTATTATCCACTCATGTTTTGTTGTTTCCTTGCAGTTCACAATGTCAAGCCTGAGTGCCTTGATGCTTACAATGACCTTTGGTAAGATGTTCCTGTCCCTTAATTGACTTCATTCAGATGACGAGTCAAGGAGCTGGTTTTATAAACAGTGCAGAGTTTTTACACATTTGTGTTTGTGTTGTGTGTGTGTACCCTTAGTGCGGACGTCTTGCCTTCCATTCATGCTAACCCTGAATACACTTGTGAGCTTGTGGGCACATGGAACACCTGGTACGGAGAGCAGGATCAGGCAGGTAAGAGCGCGCTTCAAGCTCCATGTCTGAAAGTTACGGTAAAAATGTGCAAATGCCAATCACAAGCATTAACGGCATTTTAATGGTTAATTAACCGTGCACAATCAGGTTGTCTACATAAAACAAACGTCCTTCTCAAGAGAGAAAATGCTAAATCAAAAACACAGACAAGATAGTAGTGCTCAAAAGTTTTGTTGAGTAATCAACAGTTAATGAATTGACAGCAGTAATTTATCACACAAGTCATTAAACAAGTAAAACAGGTCCTTACATGTGAGCATGTGTTGCTTCATTCTGTTCTGAATTATTTAAATTGAATATTTCTGGCTTTTAAAGTGAAGTTTGGACAAACAAGCAGTTTAGAGATGTACCCTTAGGCTCAGAAAAACTGTGATGAATAGTTTTTACTAAAGATTTTCCTCTCCAAGACAAATATTTCCTAAGAATATTGCCGTCTCTCTCCTCCTTTGTGACACAAACCAACACTTTGACAGCTTTTCTATTTTAGTTAATTATAGCTGTGAATGTACTGCACTTTTCCTGGCCGCTGTCCATTTTGTCCTCGTGGTGACATTTATCATTGCTCAGTAGTAATCATGCCTCTCATGTTACAGGGCAGTAATAGCAGCCTCAGTTAAGGTAATCTTAAAGACTGCATGAATAAAACATGTTCACAGTCACAGCGTGTGCGCCTGGAAACAATATCCAGTACTATGCTCTGAAAAAACTTTGTTTTACACTGTAGGAAACTTGGTGTCGTAACTCTCAGAGAGATCCCTGTGTCTTTTTTTAACATGTTCAGACCTTTAGAATATGCATTTTTCAAAACTGATTTACTTATTCAGTGGTTGATTTTTCAGCTTGAGCACTGAATTCAGCGTATTATTATTATTGTGCATTATCTTGGGGTTTTTCATACTAATCGGGTGTAGCTGATACTGTCTCGTGTAGCAGCAGAGTAAATGCTTTTCTACATGATGCGAAGAACTTTTGCATTGTCTTCTTTTCTTTTTACTTAACTACTAAATGTGAATGTAATAAAGCCAGTGTTATTTTTTACTGCAGCATTTTTCAATTGAAATCTCACATTTTACCAGATTTAATTGCGGTAAAATGACTTCCTGTCGTCTTTTCTCATGGAAGTTGACCAGAGGTTCATGGTTGATACACTCGATCTCATCATGCCAGCTCAGATCACAGGTGGTCTAGATATAAATAATTAAACTACACTTGCTAATGTAAAAATAATATCTTGCCCAGAGAACTACATACACATCTAGATACACATACGAGAGCTGCATTATTTTTGGGTCTTCTGCTCCTTCTATTCTAGTTCACCTGTGGAGATATCGGGGAGGATACCCGGCTCTCACCGAAGTCATGAACAAACTCAGGCAGAATAAGGTAACGGGTGCTCGGGTTAGTTCAGTTCAATTGTAGTTGGTGACCTGTAGGCCACCATCTCTGGCAGTGCACCCATCAAATTAGATTCACAGACCATTTTTCCACCCATAATGTTTCCCCATTTTATGTGTGATGTTCCAGCTGTGTGATTGTAATTTTGGTGCAATAATCTTTTAAACTCACTTACTGAAATACTTTAGTCTACTGTGAATAAGGTAAGTGCAGTTAATGGACCCAGTCTTGCCTTGTCCATATTGTAGATTCCTGTTTTATGTCAAGAGGTTGGGGAATTTTCTGTTTGTTTGTGTGCCTGAAGTTTCACCAAAATAATTTTTATGACATAACATTATTTAGAATGAAAATAAGTATGCAATGTGTAAATTGCAAATAAATTTGAAACCATTACCGTCTTGCCCACATGAATGTCACTCATTAAAGTGGGCACTAACCATTTAAAATCAGTCTGTTGTTGATCAGAAACAGGCAGATTAGTGTGGTTACTTCCTTTTTAAAATTTGGTATCCTGAACAATTGCATATTTCTACATGAATTTTAGGCAATTAACAGATAATAACCCAGATTACTCACGGTGTAATGGAATGATTATTTCACAAGTAATTCAAAACTGACCAAATTAGTTAATACAAGGAGATTTATGTGAGTTGGAAATGGATGCTAACCACCCAAAACAGATGACAGAGGATACGACTATGACTGTACCTCCACATGAGACGAGGCGATTTGTTGTTCCAGGTGTATAAAATGCTGATGCACTTAAATGGTCTAACCTCAGTTGATATTCTGCAGCCAGTCTATCTGACTTTATGGCCGTGATCCATCCTGCTATGTAACCAGAGTGAAGTATTTTAAGAAATGTAGCGTTTTTGTCTGGCCCTAGACAGATGTACAGAGTAATGTGTTGCTGTTGTTTGTCATTGCTGTAGGAGTTTATGGACTACAGGAAAGAGAGGGGAAAGATGCTGCTGTCTCGTAGGAACCAGCTGCTGCTGGAGTTCAGCTTCTGGAACGAACCCGTCCCTCGTCCAGGACCCAACATCTACGAGCTCCGATCATACCAACTCAGGGTAACGCTGTAGAAAATTTTCCAGCTTCCTCACAGTATGCATAAATGTATGTTTCTCTCTGTTGCTGTAGTAAACAGCCAACTTATCTTCCACATCTCTCCGCTCTGCACATTTTTATTTCAGCCAGGGACGATGATCGAGTGGGGAAATTACTGGTGAGACATAACTTTTTAAATGCTGCTTCTTATTTTTACATTTAGTATAAAAGAAACTCAAATAGGATTCATTTTTATAGTTAATCTGAGAATGTCTTGAGTTTTCTCTTAGTGTTTGGGTAAGAGCTACCATTATCATGCACCTGTTAAAATTTCCTCACTACTATTTTATTGGTTTTACAGATTGTAGCAGATGAATATGAGTCAACGGTACTTTTTGGCTACACAGTCTATGCATGAATCCTCAGCATGACAAACTGCATCACACATAATTTACAAATCTCAAGCATAATTTTTTACCTGTTTATCCTGCATTCAATATGCACCTGTCTGATTAATAATGACTGGGAATATGCCTGTTAATGTAATAAAAACCAAAATGCTTCAAAACAATTCTGAAGTTGTAACATCAAAATTTGATGTATTAATTGTTGAGAAAATGTTGGGATATTTGAACTTAAAACCTGCAAATTCACACTGATTTAATCAGGGATGTATGATAATATTGGCAATATCAGCTTTAAATTGATTGATCAGAAGTAGCCAACGTGCTTTTTCTTATTTTTCACAATGAATGAATATTAGATATACATTAAAAAAGTATTGTATTTAATGTCTCCATCTGTTGGTGGGCTATCACAGTAAGATTATGCATGCATAATGTGTTGTTAATTCCACTACAGCAGACTTGATCACTAAATATAGGTGGAGAAAAAAGTGGATACATTAATATTGGTATCAGTTATCGGTCAAATGAGTTGTTACATATTGGCATACTGGATATCGGCACAAAATCCAATATCGTGCATCCCTAGATTTAATCAGTACAACTCTTTAATTGAAATTTGTCAATGTTTTTTAATGTAACGACCCTTTGATGCTCCACAGGGCACGTGCGATCGAGTTTCGTCAGGAGAACCACGAGGCAGTGGGAGGCTTTTTCTCACAGATCGGAAGTCTGTACACAGTTCACCACTTATGGGGTGAGCATTGTTTCCGAGTTTAAATTCCAAATTTACATATTAGGGGCATTTAAAAATGCATCTCTGGATTGCTAATAAGTGCACAAATGTGTACATAATATTCTTAGCAAACTACTGGGTGTATCTTTGATGCCCCCTCAACAGTTTGTTACTATTCAGGAAATATATCAGATACCTTTTGGTGATGAAATTAATCAATATAACTCAATGTAAAAGTTTCAGACCTGAACACTTTTCTAAGGATACTTTAGGTATTCTACATTGATTTGAGTAAAAACTGTATAAACATAGCAATATCTTTTTTTTTTTTTTTTTCCTTTTCTTTTCATTTAGCCTACAAAGACCTTCAGTCCAGAGAAGACACCAGAAATGCAGCCTGGCGGCGTGAGGGTTGGGATGAGGTTGTTTATTACACAGGTAAGTCTTAGTTTGCCCTCTTATCTCTGCTCACTTTACCCTTCTGACAGCAGAGGACAGTATAATCTAACATCAGCTCTGAGTGGAGTCATATCATGATGATGATATTAACATGAATGAATTCAAGCAAATTTAATGAAAGTCATAACAAAATACAGTACAGGCCAAAAGTTTGGACACACCTTTTCATTCAATGTGTTTTCTTTATTTTCATGACTATTTACATTGTAGATCCTCACTGAAGGCATCAAAACTATGAATGAACACATGTGGAGTTATGTACTTAACAAAAAAAGGTGAAATAACTGAAAACATGTTTTATATTCTAGTTTCTTCAAAATAGCCACCCTTTGCTCTGATTACTGCTTTGCACACTCTTGGCATTCTCTCCATGAGCTTCAAGAGGTAGTCACCTGAAATGGTTTTCCAACAGTCTTGAAGGAGTTCCCAGAGGTGTTTAGCACTTGTTGGCCCCTTTGCCTTCACTCTGCGGTCCAGCTCACCCCAAACCATCTCGATTGGGTTCAGGTCCGGTGACTGTGGAGGCCAGGTCATCTGCCGCAGCACTCCATCACTCTCCTTCTTGGTCAAATAGCCCTTACACAGCCTGGAGGTGTGTTTGGGGTCATTGTCCTGTTGAAAAATAAATGATCGTCCAACTAAACGCAAACCGGATGGGATGGCATGTCGCTGCAGGATGCTGTGGTAGCCATGCTGGTTCAGTGTGCCTTCAATTTTGAATAAATCCCCAACAGTGTCACCAGCAAAACACCCCCACACCATCACACCTCCTCCTCCATGCTTCACAGTGGGAACCAGGCATGTGGAATCCATCCGTTCACCTTTTCTGCGTCTCACAAAGACACGGCGGTTGGAACCAAAGATCTCAAATTTGGACTCATCAGACCAAAGCACAGATTTCCACTGGTCTAATGTCCATTCCTTGTGTTTCTTGGCCCAAACAAATCTCTTCTGCTTGTTGCCTCTCCTTAGCAGTGGTTTCCTAGCAGCTATTTGACCATGAAGGCCTGATTGGCGCAGTCTCCTCTTAACAGTTGTTCTAGAGATGGGTCTGCTGCTAGAACTCTGTGTGGCATTCATCTGGTCTCTGATCTGAGCTGCTGTTAACTTGCGATTTCTGAGGCTGGTGACTCGGATGAACTTATCCTCAGAAGCAGAGGTGACTCTTGGTCTTCCTTTCCTGGGTCGGTCCTCATGTGTGCCAGTTTCGTTGTAGCGCTTGATGGTTTTTGCGACTCCACTTGGGGACACATTTAAAGTTTTTGCAATTTTCCGGACTGACTGACCTTCATTTCTTAAAGTAATGATGGCCACTCGTTTTTCTTTAGTTAGCTGATTGGTTCTTGCCATAATATGAATTTTAACAGTTGTCCAATAGGGCTGTCGGCTGTGTATTAACCTGACTTCTGCACAACACAACTGATGGTCCCAACCCCATTGATAAAGCAAGAAATTCCACTAATTAACCCTGATAAGGCACACCTGTGAAGTGGAAACCATTTCAGGTGACTACCTCTTGAAGCTCATGGAGAGAATGCCAAGAGTGTGCAAAGCAGTAATCAGAGCAAAGGGTGGCTATTTTGAAGAAACTAGAATATAAAACATGTTTTCAGTTATTTCACCTTTTTTGTTAAGTACATAACTCCACATGTGTTCATTCATAGTTTTGATGCCTTCAGTGAGAATCTACAATGTAAATAGTCATGAAAATAAAGAAAACGCATTGAATGAGAAGGTGTGTCCAAACTTTTGGCCTGTACTGTATGTTACTGAGGTTTTTGTTACATAGTTCATTGTATAAAACACCAGTTTGATCAAGCGTATGTTAGCCATGTGGTTGTATACAGTATATCATGTTCAGAAAGGTAGTCCTATTAATATCATGTTTTTAATTTGATATGCTATGGCCAGTGCTATTCGTCTGTCTGCCTAAATGGAGTGACCTGACTTGCTCACGTGACCTGGTGATAGTTGGACTAGGTCATTGCAGGTAGTGGTGCATCCTTTTATTCAACATAATTGAGACACATTCACATTATAAGGATACACCGTGCAGTCACATGAAAGAATCTGCCCTGTCACTGTGCTGCCAGTTTGAATACTTAGACACACACAAGATTGGAAAGCAACATATTGCATGTATTTTGTCATATTTAATTTTCATCTTAGAAAAGTGACGTATGAAAACAGACTTACAAACATAATCTACCAACGTACAAAAAAAACAAAACAAAAAGACTTAACCAAAATAAATCCAATATTTAACCTATTACATAAACAAAAAAGAGAAACAGGCCAAGCACAACAAAACATGGTGACTCACAGCAGGGACATCAGCTATTAGATCGTGAATTAAGGTGCCTAACTGTTGGGCCCCCATTACTCTCAAATTATCCTGCAAACCCAGTTTGTCGCATAGAAGTCTCTCAAGGTGAATCCCTGACACATGTTACCTAACCCATCTGGAGGAACAAGAAGTAGTGGTAGCTTTCCATTCATTAAGAATTATCCTCTTCGCTACCAACAAGCCAAACATCAGGGACATCTGTGCAGTATGTGGCAGAGCAAGAGAACATAATGCATCTTTAATACATTTTAAGTAAGTAAGCCATATTTCCAAAATAAGGTCGGGGACAGGGGACAAGTCTGATAACTGACATGCTGCATAATTGTGGTGGATTGTGGTGCACATCTAAACACAGGGATATAACAGTCGTTCAGCAGTTTATGAGTTCTAATCAAGGATGGGTGATCGTCTACATGAAATGGAAATACTGTAAAGACAACAGGTTGTGTTCATTTCAGGTCATTATTCTTGCTGATATTAAGGAAAGGCCTTCCTAAACATGGGATTTAAATGTGTTTCCCATGATATTTTAATTTAATTAAATAAGACTGGTTGTTGATTCATCCAGGTTAAAAAGTGCAAGTGAAAAGTGTAACCTGATCCCTCCCACTTACCCCTTCGTTTTTTTGTTTTGTTTTTGTGTGTGTGCATAGAAACAATACACAGAAATCTCTAAGACTGTTGTTCCTTCCCCACCCCACAGTCCCTCTCATTCAGCACATGGAATCTAGAATAATGATTCCCATGAAGAATTCGCCCTTGAAGTAACCACAAACAGCGGGGGAGCCTCTCAACAGCCACTGCAATTGTCGCACTGACCTGTGGAGAGTGTGACCAACCATCGGAGTGTGCACTGCCAGGGAAATCTGCATAACATCAACATGCTGTTTCAGTTTTTGTTTTTCTTTGTCGTTTCTTTACTCCCCGTTTCTGTGTGGGCCTAGAATGTCTTATTTCGGGTGATGGAACAAAATCACCAAAACTGCATCTGTTACAGCGGTTAATGTGTTACTGATTCATTAATGTGCTTTGTGTAGACAAAATATAATTTGACATGCCCCTCCTCTTGACTGTCTCTATCTTTTACAGGGTCAGATATCAAGAGCTTTGTCGTATTTTTTTATGATGATACAAAAACATCGGTGTTTGAGTGATGAGATACCAAGAAGAGATCAAACATTTAGCAGTTCTAGTGCTGGTCACAGGGGCTGAAAATGTCTGACGGTCTTTCAGAATAATGACTCGTAAGCCCTGTTGCACTAGCAGATCACAAACAGTACCTGCCTCCAGTATCTCACAACAAAAACACTGCACCCAGAGCTCACAGTTCACTATCAATATGAATTGGGTAGCTTTATATGTTACAGATGATGGTCAGTTTTGCAAAGAGGAGCGTGCTGTTTACAAATCAGTGTTGTGAAATAGACGACGAAGCTGATAATTACAGGTATAGACACCTGTGTTGTAGGGTCATGGTCAGACTCTAGCTTTATATACAGTAAAAGTTCACCAGATATACACTCATCTAGAAATTGTGACTTTATGTTTACAAGGCTTTGATCCAGCCAAATGATTACAGCGTGTACCACTATTTGTTTCAGAATCATTTGGCTGGATGAACAGATTCATTATGAAAACGCACAGAAATTAAAGTTCACAAACACACTACTGAGTGTCAGACTAGTCAGAGCGTGAAGCTAGACTTGGATCCAGAGCATTTCATTCCTGCTGGATATGTGAGTAAAGCGTCCAGATCTTTGGGTGAAGTGCCGAGTCCGCCAAAGGAGTCAGTTTTCCTGGTTTGTATCTTCACTGTTAAACTGACCACATCTCCAGATTCTTATCTCACTGAAACAAAGTGGCATATCCAGCTCTTGCAGCAGTGGAGAAGGAGACAGGATCATTCAAATGATAAGATATATTTTTTAATTTCTGCAAAACTAATCAGTATCTACAAACTGCTGTACACTGACTGGTTTGGCCTGTCCCTCTGTCAAGCAACTAATGCCAACCGGGTGAATGTGAGCTCTAAATGAGATTAATGGTTTTTTAAATGGTCAGATTGTAGATATACATAGTGGGTTTATAGACCAAGCCAGACATATGGTCAATCCTGTATCTGTAAATGAAGTGGGGGGTATTCTAAACTATCTGATGTCGGTAAACGTGGACGGGAGAGAAGTAATATCTCAATGTGGTAAATGTGAATTGCAGTGCTTTCAGATTAGTTGTACATATTGAATTAAATTCTAATGAAAAAAAAACCTTGGACTCCTTGTATGTCATATATTTCCATATCAGACAATCGCAAAGGTGACGTAACACGCTTAACCGGAGCGTCGTCTAGGGTGTGACTTATGCTACCTTCAGTGGATGTCGGAAATCTCAAATCTTAAAGCGCACAATTAACCACCGACGAAATTGTGAATGGTGACCGCTGCATAGATGTGTTTTCCTGTTGAGTGTACCTGAGAATAGCAGTCTTCCTCCACGGGACCTAGTGAAAGCAAAACGAATAATAATAGCCAAAGTGAGTTAGACAACAGTAATTGTATTATCATTATTAGTTATTGTTTAGTTTTATTTGCAAAACCTATGCAGTATTGAATCTGTTCTACCCCAAACTGAGTCTTTCCTGCCCTCTCGTTATTCCAACAGTAGGTACAATCACTTGTAATCGGATCAGTCAGGATTAATTTTGTGCTAATGTGAACGGGGAGTCAACGCTTCCTAGAAATCTGCAATGTCCGAGCCCAGACTGTGTACGTAAAGGCATCATGAGAACACGTGTTGGAGCCTTCTGGAAAGCGACTCTCCTTTCGAGAGCGTCTGAGCCCGAGCAGTGCGGACTCCCTACCGGCGGTACTTTTTACTTTTACTTCGCTGGTCGAGTTGCTTCGCCATGGCTGCCGTGAAAGCTCTGAACCCAAAAGCAGAGGTGGCCAGGGCCCAGGCCGCCCTGGCGGTTAATATCAGTGCCGCCCGGGGGCTTCAGGATGTGCTGAGAAGTAACCTGGGACCGAAGGGGACCATGAAAATGTGAGTGCCACTGGAGCCCTTTGTGCAGCACGCGTGCTAAGCTACCTTTGCTAAGTAGCTAGCTAGCTAGCGTTAGCTGCATTTCACCGGTACACCGTGTGCGCATGTCGCACTATAGTGATCCTGCAGACACCTTATAATGGGTGTATTTTAAATTTGCAAAGTCTCTACTGTCTACTGCTGTGTCATCCTCCACCACAAAGTGCTGAATCACATTGTCGGTCAGCTAGGCCCCCCACAGGCTAACGAATAGCGGATTTTCCCGGGGCACGTTGCCCTGCCCAGTCATCGTCACGATCCGCTTGACAACCGCTAAGCTAACATTAGCATGTTAGCATCAGCCGGTTAGCTTATTACGCTAACATGCTCAGAATTAATCTCGGTTAGGACTCATAATCATACACTATCTGCTAATGTTAGCTTTATCTTTAACTGGCAAACTACATAATCACTGGCAACATTAACGTTAACGGTTAACTTTAGTTATTGTTCAATGTCGGGAATTATTTCTGAACTTTAGTTATATTGCTAACAGTTAGCGTTACTGCATCTCTGTCAGTGTACAGATACTTGACATGGTAGTAATGGCTGACAGACAACTTAAACTTTTCTTGACTAACTGGTGACATACAGTAGGTTGTAGCTAACCAGCCTTTTCTTTGGCGAGTTAAAATTAACTCCTTCCTGCCTGTTCGGCTCTGCAGGCTGGTGTCTGGTGCAGGGGACATAAAGCTGACCAAAGATGGCAACGTCTTATTACACGAGATGGTAAGGAAGTGCTGAACTGTGAGATGACACTGATTCTGTCCAACTATCCTGTTCCTCATTGTGCTTTATTGTTGGAGCGACCACACCCCTAAGTTATGCTGATGCCATTTAAGCCTGTGCATGTATATTTAGTATAGTCCCTTATCCAATAAACAACAACAAACTACTACATGTATGATTAGCCTTGTTTACTTAATGAGGCATTTATTATATGAGGAATTTGGCGTTTGTGTTTGAGTATTTGTGGGACAACATGTTCATGTGTGAATGCAAGGTATTAAAAGTATCATTTTGCTTCCTAATTGGATCACAAAATCACTAATATATTCTTGAATATATTGATGATAGAAACATGAACACCCCAAGAGCTAATATTTTAAATGCATTTATAATGTTTGCCATTGATTTCCAAGTGCTGTTAATGTCCAGCACCTCTCCCTGGACTCTTGAATATCTGCCACAGTACCCAGTCTATACTTCTGACAAGACATTTTTTTAGATGTCACCTCGGGCTCTGTGAAGTAGTCTTTGTTGTCCCTCAATAAACGGTGAGAGTTTTGTGCAATCACTTGCTTTTTACGTTGTACTTTGCAGCAAATTCAGCACCCAACAGCATCACTGATTGCGAAGGTTGCCACGGCGCAGGATGACATCACAGGAGATGGAACCACCTCAAATGTTCTCATCATCGGTGAACTGCTGAAGCAGGCTGACCTCTACGTGTCAGAGGTAATGGAGAGTGGCGTGCTATTTAAAAGCTTTGCTGTCATATGCCTGTTTTGTTATACACTCAGAATATACACCGTGTTTTCTTTTTTTAAACCTGTTACATCCCCGGCAGAGATCAAGGGGAAGGAGGGAGTAAAACAGTGAAATGGAGGGAACTTTCAAAAAAAGGAAAAAAAAAGCAAACAAAACAAATTGCCAGTTTAAAGGAAGTTAATTCAAAATGAAAACAGGGAAAAGGACCATCAGTGAAAAAACAAGCTCCAAAAGGGAACCGGACCGCCTGTAGCAGGGACACACAAAATAAAGAAAAGATTAAACACAGCCAACAAATATCACCGCACTTAGCCAAACTCTTACTTATTACCCGTGTCTTAGAGACACACAACTGTCACAGTCTTCTGGCCCACTGGCACCGGCACTACTCCTCCTTCATCCATTTATATCCTCGCTGATGGGGAACACACAGGCACGTGACATAACCAAAATTAGCATGTGAATCTCTTTGGTCTGCATTTATTTAGAACTGTATTTATCTTCCCATCATAATTCCCTTTTTATTTTATGCTGCAGGGTCTTCATCCAAGAATCATCGCTGAAGGCTTTGAGGCAGCGAAAGAGAAAGCCTTGGCTGTTCTAGAGGAGGTGAAGGTGACTCGGGAAATGGATAGGGAGACCCTCATCAACGTAGCACGCACCTCCCTCAGGACCAAGGTCTACGCAGAGCTGGCAGACCTCCTCACTGAGGTGAGACATGAGGAAATGGAGCTCAGTGTACGCAGAGCTGAAAGTCAGCAAATGAACCTACAGGAAAGATTGTTTTGTTGGTTATCTATACTCTTAGCAGACTAGTTTATCCCTTTGGCTGTAAAATGTCAAATAATGACAGCTTAGTCAGATAATTGCTGTGGTGGTCAGCGATTATTTCCAGTCGTAATCTTTTTTGAGCTTGGTGTGTGTGTGTGTGTGTTTTCAGGCCGTAGTAGATGCTGTGCTGGCCATCACTAAACCCAATGAGCCCATTGACCTGTACATGGTGGAAATCATGGAGATGAAGCACAAGACTGACTGCGATACACAGTGAGTATTTATAAAAGCTGAAGGACTTGGAATAAGAGGCATCTATCTATCAAGGTTAACTATCTCTGAGTCCTGCTCCTTTTTGCTATCTGCTCAAGACACACATACCTGCCAAAGTTAGGCTGCAAAAAGAGGGAGATTTTCTGGGGAATTGACAAAAGGCCTACCCTTAAAGCCCCCAACCGCATATAACCCTAAACCACAGATGAATAGCATAAATGCAGGGATGTGAAAGTAAAATGACTTATTTACTCTTAAATTCATAACTCATTTTAAAATTGAAATACATACAAAGTGTTTTAATAAAAAGTTTAAACATAATATTAAAACTAGCCTACAGTGTTTCCCATTTCATACTGACATCCAGGCCACATGCAGAACAACACTTGTGGAGGGCAAGAGAGACAAGTGGCTCTTTCCTACACACACAGGCAGCATTTTTTTTTTTTTTTTT